GGCCCTCATGATCACTCTTGTAGGAAGAGTAACCATCATCATAGTCCTGGTGCAAGGAAACTGGTCTTCGCTGCCATGACATTCTCCGGGATTCCGCTGGGTCGACATCGCTCCCGACGGACCCATGAACCGACAATCGCGACCTCGCATCGCGATCAAGCTTGTCGAAACCTCTCTGCGAGGGAGGCGGTCCCAGGGCTCGCGGCTCCTTCTTTGGGAACAGCTGATGGTCCTCGACCCCTGTCATGCTCAAAGGCCTCTCCTTGCGGTATGTGATCCGACCGTGATTCAACCTGGCGACCGAATCCTTTTCGAACTGCTCCCTAGGGTTGGTGTAAGAGTAAGCATCGTAGTCATCAATGTCTTCTCCCTTGCGAAAGCCTCCGGGAGCCGGATAGCGCGATCGGTGACCGTGATCGTGGGTTCGGTAGCGTCCATGATCGGTTCGAGATCTTGCTTTTCGGGCATGAGGCTCGAGTCTGCCAGTATCACTTGCATAATCTGTAGGATAGTGCCGGCTGTGATGCCGAGCGTGATGTGACGAGGATGCAGGAACAAGATAACGTTCATGGCCCGGGAGAGGACTCGGAGATCGGCGGTAACTCGTGGTGATAACAGGGGAATGTCTGTTCACGGATGGTGGAACATCGAGCCGGGCGGGAGCATGGTGAATCTCTGCAGCGGAAGCGGTACTGCTCCGTGGTCTCGGACGGATAGCATACTCGGTCCTCAGCTTGGTGGAGTGACCAGGGTCCCGGTATGTTGTTGAGGAAATCGGCTGAACCTCGAGTCTCGGTTCGTGCGACACACGAGGGCTATATGGGGCGCTGAAGGGGGTCACTAATGGGAGGTCGGAAGAGTAGGCCGGGTATCCCGGACGACCCATGGAGGATTCGTAGTGACCATATGAGGAGCTGAGAGGCACTGTTCCGGTCGAGGCACGCATGGGGTCAACCATGCGGTGGCCGCTCGGAGACAAGGGCCGGTAACGCACAGAAGAGTCCATGACTCTAAAGGGCGTGTTTATCTTCCGAATCAGATGTTACAATCCAAGAAGTCGCGGATATGCCGTTGATGGTCGGTATCAGAAATAAAAGAGGAGCGTGCGACAATATTTGTTGGCGGTGGTGTGGATGAAAGAAACCGCGATCAGGAGCAGGGAGGTAAAAAAAGGTCGAGAAGGAGCTCGAAAGTAAATGACAAATGGATGCTGCAGAAAAGGTGGGGAATAGGGCCCGAAGAAGGGCAGCGAAGCTGGTTCGACAATTTTCTAATGGAAGGGGAATGTCTCGGGCACCGGGCCAGAGTGAAGCAGGCCGAGACCTGAAGAGGATAGAGCTGGTGATGATGATGGCGACGATGGCGATGATGATGATGATGAGGCGGCGGAGGGGCAAAAAGCAAAAATAGGAATGGATCAGAGAAACAGTCAATGGACTGTTAGACTCGAGGCTAAAGAGGGCGTGTGGGGATTCGGGAATCGTTGGGCCAGCACTAAGTGCGTATGTACTAAGTACGATGCACGATGCAAGTATGTCAGGGAGATTCTCGCCTGAAGGAGGAATGTAGCCATCTATTTGTATGTAGAGATGGAAAGGCTTGAAGTTGAAGCAAATGAAGGAAGGGGAGATCCGAGGACTGTGGATAGCATCAAAAGTACCCCTCCGTATGAAGCAGTGAAGTCAGTAGTGGAAGGGAAGATGAAGATGGTCCATAGCAATAACCCGATACAATATTGTCTGTATGGAGTAGTTTGATAACTGTTTCAACTCTCACTATCTCCATTATAGTAGCAGTGCATTGATAACTGTTCATAACTAGGTACTATCTAGTACTACTATGAGTACCCCTCTATATGAAAGATGAATTAATGATCCTTTCTTCAAGGCTGTGACGCAAAAGGTGGAGATATCTTCAGTTCTGCTCCTCATCTTCATCCAATAAGAGTAAGCAACTATAGATATGGATGATTTCTACTGACTGTTATGTTATGTATGCCCAACTGTTTTCTATAGATCGATACTCTGTCCCTGACCATGGATGTTCTCCGGGTGTCTTCCATGGATCATTGATACTATACTGATAGAAGAATCCTGAGTAAGGTACGTACCTTAGGTTCTCCGCAACTCAATTGCTTCCACTCGACCATTCAAATCAACGATAATAATCATATGAGTACCTATCTATTGTCGTCGAATGATTCTCTCCTCTTTTCCCCCTCGATAGGGAGTCTACTGTAATTTCACTCAATCTGTGAAGGAGTCTTTGATGCTCCACTGTCCTCCACTCGTAATACGCGCCAGCTTCAATACTGCTTGATGCTGGTAAGGTACTCCATAACCCGTTTAAAACCACTACCGCTAGGCTCCAGGGTTATCTTTGAGGATTGAAAATGTATCCCGGTGAGAGTTTCTGAATATGCAACCTCGCAGAGTTCATATTTCCATCAGATGTGACTCCAAGTGTCTACTACTAAAGCACTAGTCCTGTATCCACCCGCGATCCTCGAATTGGGCACACGATGATGACCTCATCCCGATCCGACGGTTTCACCCTTTCTCCCGTCAATCATCCCTTCTAGAAAACCATAACCCAACGACTTCACACTACATTGGCTACAATCGCAACCGAGGTTGCAAGTGGAGACTATTCCTCCTTACAGAACACACGCTAAACAGTCCAGCTACTACTGTTTTGCATTCGATGAGACGACGACATCATCCACCAGATGGATCCGGAGCCAAGCCCCGGGGCAACGGCGCGCTTTTACGGCTTTGCCCCATGGCTGATGTCCTTCGTCAGTCAATCAAAACGCTTCAGAGTAAGCAGCTTCATTCTTTCCCGTCACTGCCTTAATTGCCATCGGTTGGTAGATGGATACTAATCTGATCACCAGACTCCTTGAAACCGACGATCAATCATCGACTCCGGCTGTGTCTGATCGTGGATGTCGGTAATCCACATTGGAATACCCATTCTCCGCTCCATCGACTAAGCCAACCTCTCCAACTCTTCATCGAACGGTAAGAGGAACAAAGGATGAGGCATTTTCTGCTCTTCGGTATCACTATAATGTCCCTCAAGGACTACAGACTGACCCGTCTTCATGGTGCTCTGATCGTTTCGCCAGGGAGTGTCAAACGAGTCGGTGTTTTGTTGCGGCCGTGATCCTCCCAATAAGCCTACTGCCGTCATACTGAACCACAGCAGACTTCGAAACGGGAAACACCTTGGAGAATATGTGACCTCAATCTCAGGGCACTGACAAAAAGATTCTACGGCTCGGATGTGCTTCCGCGTGCCGCGAAACCACCGGTCTCTGTTTATTTTGCCCAGGGCATCTTCCTCTCTCGTCTTACCAAGGACTGTCACTGGTAAGTGGCTATTCATACCCATTGCGCGCTTCAAAAGTCACACTCGATCTGGAGCATCAGAGCTTCGAGGGTATCTTCAAAGAATTCATCTTTTACCTTACAGAGCCACTCTGAGCGGCTTCATCTGTTGTCGCTGGACAGCTTAAAAAATCTATATGTGATCGATTCCGGTCTCCAACATGAGCCTTTGCTTAGCCACAATGCCTCCTGAAGGGCACCCATACCAGGGCACGATCCTTCTGCTCTGTCTGAACTCTTCATGATGCATTCGATAATATACTTACAGGGCACCGCCCCCTGGCGCCTGATTTGCCCTTGTCCAAGCTGTGACCTTATTCAAGCCACCATCCGCCCCTTTGGAACGTACACAGTGTGACTTGATGCAATAGTTGCTCCGTCCCAGCTTCTCGATGAACGGTTTGCGACAGGGCAGTAATATCTGGAATATCGAACTATAAGTCGCTCTCACACTCATCGGGCATGAATTGCCTGGCCACAGGCTCAAGCCACAGCTGGTGACACCTCAGAAGCTGCTTCATTCTCTTCTTCACCCTACCTTGCGGATCGCTTCACCGATGCAGAGACTTGTGGCTCATTGCTCTCTGGCCCGGGTGTTGTCCATGATTGCCTTCATGGACGAACCCTTGGGGCAGCTTGAAGAGGGTATATAATTGAGATCATGGCAAGTAGAGTCCATCACTTTCACTGTTCATTCCTTTCTTCATCGCGATCGCAGTCAAATCTCTCCATCCCAGCGTATGCTCCCTCCGCAAGACCAAACCTACTTCACCCTTATCAACTCTCTTCGACTCGTGTACATACACCACGCCCAGGTCTCTAGCTAGTTAGAACATGTCTTCTCCACTCCTTTCTTCCCTCCTCTTTGCTACTCTCCCCTCCCACACCCAACGCCCAGCATATACAACCTACACAACCCCTCTACATCCCACCCGACGAAACCCAAGATCATCGTCGCGAGTCCCACATCGACTCAGCTCCAATCACACCGCTGGCCTGAGACCATCCCACCAGCCGAGATTCCGGCATGCACGCGCACCCAGATCCCTCTCAACGCACCAGCTTGCCCGACCCCCCATGGCCGGCTGGTGGGTTTGCTGCGGCTGCGGCGGAGACAATAACCCCGACCTAAGCTCGGGCCGGTGCACCCTCTGCGGCCATATTCTGTGCTCCTGCTGCCGAGTGTATTGAGCCACTTGACTGATGACTTCGGCCCATCTGTTTTGGGCGCCTGGTTGACTGTATTACTAGCTGCGTTGACGGCTTTTGGTTCTTCATTCGGTGATTCTCTTCGATGATTGAGCTCTTCTGTATCGATTTTCAGTGGCATTTTTTTTTCCGTTTCGCTCTTCGTCTCTTGTTTACCTTTTTCTTCTTTTGCGTTAGGATACCATTCGATAGATAGCGTTGGTTTCGCTTGAGATTGGGCTAGTTTTATGAACAAGATTGATACTCTATAATGTGCCCCACGATCGTCTTATGCAAAAGCATCCTGTGACCTAAGTATATCCAGCGATTTAGGGCCAAAGCTGTATTGAGATAGGAGCCACAGGAAGGTCAGGCATCCGCATTAGGATCGAGGACAACAGTGATAATGAAATAGACATTTCAATTACGCCGTCTATGTTTTCCCCGTCTTTGTCCATGCTGAGGTATGTCTTCGGCACCCGCAGGGTTCTCCGACTCTGTGGGAGGTTCTAACCCAGCCTCTTTCTTCAACCTTGTCACAACCGGTCCCAGGGCAAAGGCGCTCTCGCGATTACTGTGGTCCGCACAAGGGCTGTGCTTAATAGGGAGAAGCCACTCGAACAGAGAAAATCCCATTACCTGCTGTAGATTTTTGAGTGGACTTCCAAGGTCAAATGGGTTTTCTCCCGGTAGGGTTTGTAGGATTGCGAACACATGCTGCTCTCCGACTGGGAATTCCCGCGCGACTTCTGATTCCGCTGGAGGAACAGGCGGGAGGGGGTAGGTGATTGTACGGAACGTTGGTGCCCAGCGTTTGCTGAGGATGTGCCTTGGCACGCGGATTGCCAAGGTCCACACTGCCGAGCGGCGGTTGAGGTTCTCAATCGTCGTCAGATTGTACACGGCAAGTTGCACAGAGCTTATGGTCATTCCAAAGGCGAAAAAACCAAAAAGAGAACTCCTAGTGGCTTGTAAGAACGGATATACATGTCTTAGCGATGGAAATATACTCACAGTGCGAGACAGACAATCCAATGAGCATTGGTTCTTCCGGCCTGTAGATTAATAATGCATTAATTGAGACTCCTTCTAGGTCAACCAGATCATGCACTTACCTCCCGTTTGAGCTCGGCAGTATATATCGCAAAGACGATAAGAACAAATATGCAGTAGAACATTGTATAAACGATGAATTGGATAAAAAACTTGAACGAGGTCTCCGAGACTACACCGCCAACCCTTCGGACGTGTTAGTCTCCTTCCAATTGCAGAAGCTCGCGATGCGTTCCGACATACCATGGGCAAAAATGATCCATCTTACGGACACATCGGTCAACCTCTCGACAGTGGTGGGCTCTGTCTGTCTTGAACTGACAGCACGTGGAGCAATACACTGGTCTCCCATCCGGCTGACAAACAAAGACATCTTTGGTGTAGAAGCTCTCCAGTCCTTCTGCATCCAGAGGGTATGCCTTTGCTCCCGCATTGTACTCAAGTCCTCGTTCGACGTCGCCTCTGTCAGATCTATCAGTTTTCTCCGTCGTTTTGGGACGATGATGTCCACTCTTCCTCCTATGATGTCTTCGATGACGGTGCTTTGAGCCCTCACTGTCTGTGTGATTCCGAGGACATGCTTTACCCCGCGGCAGATAACCGGGGTTCAAGACAACGTTATACAAAAGTCGGAGGTACGTGACCAATACAGGAATAAGCAGGACGTAATATACGGCGAGTATAGCGGCGCCAGCGCCAGTTCGAGGCCTTCGATCATAATGGCGAGCAGGATGTAAGAGGTAGTCGACTGATATTCAAATTCACATTAGACTGGCTTGAGGCTGGTATGACTGGGGTAGAGGATGCTGACCGCATAATGGTTTCGTGATAGCATAAGTGGCATAACCAAACACACCGACCAAGATGGGAGGTATGATTCTGGCAACGGCGAGATTGACACGCTTATCCGCGCCGCGAGGTGCCATTTGAAACTAATTCCAAAATGTTTGCGATCGCCTGTGCATTGAGGAGTGGTGATAAGATAGAAAGACTTGGTAGAGTTTCTGTCAGAAGCATCTGCATCAATCATAAAGTGGTTCGGCCCTCATGAAACCAGGCAATTAGCCGGCTCGAGTACGTTGCATAAGTATTATCTTGATATGACTGCACTGGTTTGGATTAGAGACAAGATTAAGTAGATTTGGATTAGATTATGATGATGTTGAAGCAGCCTCAGGAACATAATGATGATCAGCAAGTGCAAACATCAACAAACAGAACGGATGACGTAATGTTACGGCGGACTATAGTACTCGTCAAAAAGATGGTATGGGTTGGCTATAGCTCATTGTAATGCTTCACCTTAATATATAAAAAAATTATTTCTTCTTAATAGCTTTAACTTTCTTAATATTACAGTTCCTTGACTTTAAGATGCTTCTGTCCCCTTTCCTTCATAATAGTAATCATCTCGTCTAGATCCTTGGATGATAGAATTTCCCAAACACCCCAATCAATACGATTCCAAAAGTAGAACTTCTCCCCGGCCTTAAACATGAGTATACAGCTTTCTGTATCAAACATGATAGGCTGGCCTTTTCCAAGTCGATAACTTCTAGTGATTTCTTGACCCTGACCATCATCTGCAGCCCATTCATACTCATAGTCGAGTTCTTCAGGGTCTGTAGTCCACCCTTCTGGGGGATCAATCTAAGGTGCTATAAGTTAGTTTCATAAGCTCTTAATAGTGCGGACAGATGGTACAGACAATATTCTTACAGATTGAGACATGGCAGTGAACCTGTATCAAGCTTTAGTGTTCGGTGAGGAGTAGACTGCAAGTAGAAAGAAATAGATATAAGGAGGTGATCGTTGAGTGGTGAGACGTAATCATTGTAAAAATACCAAAAGTCCACATTGTAGCTATAGTCCACCGTACATGTGCTCCCTCCATGTAAACAAGGCTGAACTTCTGTGGCCAGTACAAAGATTCAAGCCTTAAGTATCTTTATGCTATGCAAGAGTTATTTCTTAAGGTTTTACTGTGATATTGTGGCTTGGGCGATTCAGATTCTTGGGTCTACCATTATCGACCATATCAGCCCACGTTTCAATATTCACTTGATGATCCTGCCCTCAACGGCACCTTGGGCCCAACGGATCGGTGACCTAGCGAGCGTTACAGTCCCAGGCATGAATTTTTCTGCCTGTACTTGTAGGTCATCTCTGGATACGAGCATCGTCCCCTCTCGAATGAAGGCAGACGCCGACTTTCATGAGTCTCCGGTCAAGCCAAATGGGCTATTCGACTAAGGTGTCAATCGTAGACAACTTTGGCTAGTTCAAAACGAAAGGGAAGAGCTCAATCGGCTGGGATGGTCGACAAGGAATTCGTGGAATCTGGGTGTAGTCGGAATGCCTTCAGGAACCGGAACTGAGGGTAAAATGCATTTGACCTGGGTCAAGCAGACGCAGTGTAGCAGTACGAAACCATGCTACTAATAATAATCATGGTCAGAGACAAAGAATGAAAGGGGAGAGATGATGCGAGGGAGGAGAGGACAGCATAACCATCACATAACCATCACCATCTATTTTTAATGATTGTTGACAATGAATCATCCTCTCACTCTGCTCCCCTGTCATCTTCCACGTTGAACAGATCATCGATTACTCAACGTCATCAGAGAAGAGATCTTGTAAGACGCGATAAATGATGACTGGATATGTCGAATGATGGCTTAGGCAGCAGGAGCACGTGGAATGCAGCCTTGTCTTGTGCTTACCTTACTACGGAGAGGGCCGAACAGGATTTGACCGATTTGACCGACAAATGCGACAGGGAAAATGGCTTTCCGAGTACATTTGGTGAGCAAAACTAACGGTCAGCGCCATTATGAAAGTGCCCCAGGTAATTACAGTATGACTGTTCTTTCTTCGACGATGATTTCCGCGACGAATCATGCGAGGACGAATGCACGACGGAGCCTCTTGCTGTAGGTAACCAGGCATTAGGGGGGATCGTTGCCTGAATCTGCTGGTACTAACGCGCCGCAAGTGGAGTCGTTCTCGAGAGCCGCTCAGAGTTAGTACGTCGTTTCAGCAGGCAACACGCGCGCGGAGTACAAACGGATGGACTATCACAGAAGCCAAGGAAAAGAAAACAAAATGCAAATGGGCAAGGGGCAAGAAGAATGCAGACGATATTACAAAATTGTCTCTACTTGGGGTGAAAAGGGCGGAAATCAGAGGGCATTCGGGCAAACGCGACATGTCCAAGCCACTGCTGATTCCGCCTTTTCCATCATAGACAGTGGACCCTCAAGGAGGGTTTGAGTCAACACCAGTGCTTATTCTAGCGGTCATTCTACTCAGATGTTCGCATGTTGATTCAGAAATGACTTCAATGTCGTTCTCGAGATAGCATCTAGGCACTGATGGACCCATTATTCACCCCGCCAAGCCACATTCGATCTACTGCCATCCTAATGGCCCCGTCTCTAACTTCTCTTAGTAGGCGGATTCAACTAAGCTATTCTGCTTGCTTGCTTGCCTGATGATATGCCTGAGGATGAAGGTTGATTCGCTGCAAATCTGGGGCGCCTTCTGGATGTCTGGGGCTTTTGCCTGGGAGAAGCCACACTTGTGCCCTTGTGAGCTGCCTTGCCCATTGTTTGATGTGATTCATGTCTTCATCATCATCTCATTCTTTGTTTTTTATTTAAACATGCTTCAATCCCTCATGATGGACACTCTTTCCTTCTTCATCATTCCAAGCAACAAGCATCCTCTATATAGATCTATCTTCCAGACTCTCAAGACTACTATTCGTCTCCTCCATCGTCAGGATCATCAACTCAATCATCTCTTCCATCTCAATCATGCCTGGCTCCTGGTACACCGAGGACATGAACATGAACATCAACATCAACATCAACGACTCACTACACGGCTGCCACGACATGTCTTCCTACCACACTGTTCCTGCCACCAGCAGAAGCCATCTACATGACAATCGTCAAGCCAGCCTACAGGGCTCATCAATGCCCTACGAGGATCTTCCGGAGACCTACTTCGCCGGCCGCTCTGGCCGAGGGACACACATGAACAAAGTCTACAGCCAAACATACATGTACATCTGCTGCCAGTGCGGCGACGGGCCCAAAGTATACAATGTCCAACCGAGATGCACAGAATGCAACCACATTGTGTGCTCCAGTTGCAAACCTGTCAAGTAGTACCTGTTCTCCAGCAAAACATCTAGGTAAGGACTTCTGCCCATGTACCGACACTGAGGAGCCGAAGCTGATACATTTGTGCTTACAGAAATCCAGGATGGCTGCGCCTACCTGCTGTATATTGCATTTGGATTGGTTTTCAGTTGAGTTGTCATCGTGAGCGACGCATTATTATGGATACAACATGAAACATGAAACGAACATGAGCATGGGAGTTTACGGTTATTTTCTGGGAGGGGTTGCATATTTGGACCGGATAGACTCTTTTGGATACAGTGCTATTTTGATGAATGTACTACTTATGATGCTAGATCGGGCGGGTTGCAATGAGCTGAGCTGGTCTCAGCTCATTGTAGCCCTGGGGGAAGTCTGAGGGCTGTGGGGCTGTCATTTCTGATTTATTCTTTGTTTTCAATACTGTTTCTGGCTGATGTTTGACGTTTGAATTGACTGAGTTTGAGATCTGTTAATCAAATTGTTCCCTGCCACGTTGTGACTCTAAGATCTGTAGTTCATGTCTTGGTTGAATATTGACATGGGCCAGGGAGCCTTGTTGCCTGGGGTTGCCTAGCTGGAGATCGCGTGCCATATCTATTCCGTACTCCAAGTATACTTGTCTAGAAAATCTGTGACTGGCCACATTCAATCAGATTTAGTGGTTTGAATTTAGAGGAAAAGTTGTTCGGACTACTCTAGGAACAGAAAATCAATCCTAAGAATATTTTCATTGATTTTTCTTCAATATCTTTGCAGTCTAATTCCTCAACCACAAACCCAACGCTGGATGTATATACATGTAGATCAGCCACTGCATCATTAGTCAAAATCTAGATAATGAGACAGAGCAAGTATTGTGGCACAGTAGTATTTAGTACCTAGTACTAACTAGTTTTCTATCATAGTCTTATTAATCTCCATTTCGAGCCGCAGTCGATCACAGCAAGGATGACATGCATCATCCCCCTCCATTGATTCCACCGCCCTTTCTGTCGGGTTCCGTATGCACTCAACCCTATTCCCTGCGCAAAATAGCGGTCTCTAGCCAGGCATCTTACACTTTGCTTCTTCAGCTTAGAAATTCAGCCCTGTGCTGATACTTCATACCTGAGTAATCTGCGAATGACGCATTCTTGTGTTTATCAATTTGACTCGATGAGAAATACGAGGGTGGGCTGTGTTGCGCCCGGACTCTGTTCGACACAATGCCAGAATCACGGTTAGGCATTCTAAGTTTACCTGAATCTGCCTTGATCTAATCTTTTTTGTTGATGCTTCCAAGCCTGGAAGTGGTGTTAGATCCACCGTGTCTCCTGTCAACTTACCGATTCTGCTGCCTCCATGTGAGGAATTGTTTCAGCTCTGAACCACGATGATGAAACATCCTCTGCCTTGGACCTGTGGGGTCTATGCATGTTCTATTCTCCAATACTCCGTAGACAATCCTTCATACGGAATGACATTCTAGAATCATTTTCCATACATATCCCAACTGTGAGCCTGTATATGAGTAATCACTAGTAGTACCCAAACATATCCCCTTGCCAGTAGCCACATGGTATCACCGGCCCCAAGCCAAGATCTACCTTTGAGAATAAAGAACTGAGAATCTGCCCCCAATTCCGTTGTACGACTCGGAAGAAGCTGCTCTAATCTAAATTTAATTTCCGATATCAGAAATAGATGTCTGCTCCTACGCCGTTACAAGATCCTCCTATTTTGGTTTGCCGTTCAGCTAGAAATGGGGTCCAAAAGCTGAAGATGACATCCCCTAAAAAATGACGTTGACACCGTTGGAAAAACTTAGTAATCCTTCCATTGTCTCCTTTATTTGATCCTTCATTATGTGAGATGGTTAATTTAGTCACCGGTCATTCAGCCTTGATTTATGCTGAAGAAGTAGGATGGCCATACTCTAGTCCTACTCCTGACAAAATATACTACCCACTTCTATATTGCATGGCCGTGTACCCAGACAACAAACATAACATATAGATTCCTATAACAAAGTACTAAATCAAGAAAATGCTGCATAATAATAATATTATTACAATATTAATCTTTTATCTTCGCCTCAAAACCAGGTCCCATCCTACCGACATATCTCCATACCCTGTCAAAGAACAACATCGGAGTCCCAATGCAGAAGCACACTAAGACAATGAAATGACTCAGAACCTGCAATATTCAATGCATGGAAGTTTCTGATTCGATTAGTTATGACTCAAAGATCCAGGATAAGTTATGGTCATCCCCAAAGTACAAGGGTTTCTATTCAGTTTAGTCTACAAACTGGTCTGCGAGTAGCTGAAGTGCACAGCCCTAAGTCTTGAGGATTGTAGGATCAAATGATCGCGGTACAGTTCTGCTGTTCAAATACTGAGTTGACGTACATGAGTCATGATATTAATCATGATGACATTCAGACTTCACTAGTGACCTTGGGGCCCAATCTATCAGACAAGCTTGTCTCTCTCCATTGTCTGTGCAAACGCCCGTCTGCGCCTTGTTGTGCCCGATAGGCGCTCTACGCCCGGCTCCAGGCTCGGCCGAGATACGCGGACACAAACTCGGAACAATGAATTAGATAGCAAGATGTACGATCATACTCTCATTTGAATGGAAAATGAATGATTTGATAATTCACTATCACTATGTATCTCTACCACCCAAAAGTCGCAGCTGTACAGTTTCCATCCCGTCGAACATGGAAAGTAAAACTGGTACGCGTTGATCAGTCCGCACCATTGCAAGTCTCAGTAGCTGAGATGGATATTATGCTCATGGCCCACAGACTCCGCGAGGCCTTAGTGATGTTCGAAAGAGAGGGCGAACTACCTACGCCCCGCTGATAGAGAAAATATGGTTGAGATCCTACCAAAACTCCATGCTGCTCTTTTGTTACCAATAAGCACAGATCAACAGGGTAAGAATGAGAACACCCTGTTATGGATCAGAGGGCAACACCAGTGATCCTATCTTTCGTAAAAGCAGAAGTATAGAAGGTCAAGTGGTGCGTATGTATTAGACAAATGGACGGAGAAAATCTCTGATGACAAACAGAGCAAGTGAGTGTCAGGTATCAGAAAGTCGTATAAGGATATCTTGTTTATGGTGTCAAGAGGCGAAGATTTTTTCAGGTGGTTGTGTGGGCACACTTGCATGCAGAAGTGTCACGGGCTCACCTTGGTAGAGGAAAAGCTTCTTCCATCAGATGAACAAGTACCATGCTCCTGTTACAAGGGCAAGACACGTGATGGATCTTGGAGGAAGCGTCTACGGTATGCAGCAATTTCCGTGGCCACGGTATTGAAATCTTTCACCTTGTCGCGCCGCATTTCATTGATGATTTGTTTCAGCCCGGCGATATATTGGTCCTTCTCTTCAGGCGTTTTGCCCTCTCGAAGGGATCCCATCTGGACGAGGATCTTGTCATCTGTCAAAATCGATATCACTGTGTGTCAGCATCTCCTTGCCACATTCGAAACAAACTGACAATATCTGGATGTGTTCATAAAAGAAGGGAAAGAGGTAAAAATCAGGATAGGAAATGAAAAGCAATCAGAAAACAAGGAACCCAGGATGATGGGAGTGAATTGTGGGGCTAAGTCATGAATCGGATTGTGACATGAAGGATGCTGCAATGTTTTGGCCTGAATATGTCGACGCACCGCTAAGAGTCATGTCACGAAAATGCTGGAAGTCGCATGATCGGTCATTGCAGACACCGCCGGTAGCCTCATAGGGACAGAGATATTTCTCAGAATCGATGTTGTGACTATATGTTAGGGATCGAAAGCCGCCCGAGACATTCTCAGTGAATCTAGGGTGGTAGCGGTAAGCTTTGAACCATCTCAATGGGCTAACGTAGGGCGTGAATCTGTGAGCTTTCTCCTCCAGCGGTTCATTCTACAAAGTCGTCAGCAGTGCTTCTCCCCGAATTAGAGATAATCCGCACATTCGAGAGCCCAATCTTCTGCTGGGAGCTGGTTTGTGGTTGAACTTCCAGTTCCTGAACCTTTCCCATTAGCGGCATATCAGCTCTCTCGACCCCAAAAACCTCTGCAGACTTTACGGAAGCAAGAGAAACAGGACTGAAAGGGGGAGTATAGACGGAATCGGCAGGGCTGCTGTCCGCTTCGGGCTCTGGTGGCTCGTACGCGTCGGAGATGGAAGATTCGCGGGAAACTTGCTTTTCGAGTTCCCGAACTTCTTGCGCATTGGGGGGTAATACATCGGCTGCATTCCCGGCATCGGGAGCATGCGGGACTCGCGGCCGTTCCGGAAGCGCGTGGTCAGGATTTATCTCGCCCTCCACTGTCTTCTGATCGGTCTCTGGGATGCTGCTCAAAGCTTCAGGCACACAAGGCTCCGATGTGGGGGTTTCGCATTCCATGGACTCTTCGCCATCAGCTGGCACAGAGCCTTCACTAGAATCAGCAGACTCATCCATCGCGGAGCCTAGAGATTCTGATGGGGAGGAAGAGGATGCATCGTTTGCCAGATCCACAGCGTCATCAGACTCGTCCGCATCCATAGACAGATCTGAGGTAGCAGAGGGCTCCGCCTGAGATGCCAAACGAGAAATCGGAGACCCTTGGACTGAACGTGCCACAACTTGACTCCGCTCCTCGGCAGCGGGGACGTCTGCCAACGAGGAACCATACCTTGCCGGAGAGCTTTGAGGATGTATCGAACCTGCAATGAGATTTTTGCGTCATGTAAGCTCCAATTTCCACAGCACTATCCGTGCAAAGTCTGCAATAACCAAGAATGTAGGACGGAAATAGGTGACAGCCAATTAAACGTACCTTCATCTGACGCTTGGACTTGTTCCTTCGCGTCCAGCTTACGTTGGGCTATCTCCAGCTCTTCTAGAGTGAGGCCTTTCAACTCCAGATTGAGACTATGCAGCTCCTCAAGAAGTTGTTGTCTCCCTTCCTTCCCCCTGGCAATATCACGCAGGAGGTTCTGCTCTTGTATTTTGACTTCAGCAAGCCGGGCTTCAGACTTTTGAATCTCGGCATCCAGAGCGGGAACACCTGATTCAATTTCCTTCTTACGCAACAATTTCGAGCGCATCTCCTCAAGGTGGTCGGCGTCCTTGAGGGCCGAAATGCGCGCGATTGATTCCGACGAAAGGGTCTCGGGATTATCAGAATCGTCTGCTGGAACCGAAAGAATGGCTTCGGCAGCAGCATCTAAGAGAGCCACTTGAGGAGGCAATTTATGAGCCACAGGCTGCAAAGTGACATTGCTGGTTTGATTTTCTTGATCAGCGGACATTGGGTTGACTGCAGTGGATGAAACCGCTATTTCTGAAGGGCGAGGCGATTGTGTGCGACTTGCTGCTAGCTTCGCTTGCTTCCGTTGCTCAAGTTCAGCGATGCGCCGATGCATTGCCTGTATTTCAAGATGCTTCTTCCGAAGGTCTTCTTGATCATGATTTCTGTGATTTTGGGGTGTAGCAGAGGTGGATATTCCTTGACTTGACACAACCGGCCGTTGAAGAGAGTCGGCCGATGAAGGAAATGTTCGGAACGAACCTGCGGGGCCTACTGAGCCGCCTTTTGGCGATGTCTTCCCGGCGGGCTCAATCTCCATTTCGTCGTTCTCGTCATCTCCATAAAACTCATCATCACTGATATCGATGATCAGTCTATCCTCTGAAACATTATGATTTACTCCGTTATGGGACCTTTTCGGTGTAAGTGAAGGCTCGTCAAAGTCAGATGCTCTTGGACGCTTGCGTTGATTGACATGGGGCTGTGGCGTCGAATCAACGACCAAGCCAAGAACGCGTGTGACAGATGGCTCTGAGTCTGTCATGAACAACCCAGGAATACGCGAGGGAGCAGTGGGCTCTGGGTCAGGAGGTCTAACAGGTAATGGATGTTGAATCATCGGGGTGTTGGATGCTTGAGACACCGGGGCGGGACTGCTTCCGTTGCTTTGCCGTACCTCTTCACGAGGCAAAGAATCTGTTTGCGCTTTTTGCTGACTTCTCACCAAACCCTGCTTCTTGAGCTGCTCGATTCGCTGTCGGGCTAGTTCAGTTTGCGCCTTGTTTTTCTCTCTAGTTCGCATGTCCCTGTCCTTAGGAGGGGTTTCACGCTCAGAACTCACAGCCGCGCCTTTGCCAATGAGGGCAGACACCGGGCTTTCAGACGATGGCGCTTCCTTTGCAGAGTCAGTTTGAGGGGTTGAGGGCGCTCCAGAGGCCTTGGCAGCTTTCGCAGCAAGCATACGCGCAATCACCTCTTTTCTTTCCAATGGTTTGGCAGGGGTGCTGGGCTGGGCGGTAGGGGCAGGAACAGAAGCAGGCATGTTTGCCGCGGCTGCGGTCACTGGCATTTTGGTTTCTCGTTTAGCGTGATCCAAGGTCACAGGAGCATGCCCAGTTCCAACATTGCTGCTTGAACTCGACTCAAGACCTGCAGCAGCCAGGTTTCCTGGCACGTCAACGGACTTGGCAGGCGGATTGATAGTTGGAGATACACCGTCTGGTTGTGGCGTAGAAACTCTAATTCCAACTTCTTCATAAAGCTGCCTAAGTACTGCGGGGTGGATTCCCTCTCCTACCAGCTCACTGTAACGAATGTTGTGAGGCGCTAAGCTTAGAAGCGCGCCTTGTGCTTGAATTCGAAGTTGTGCTAGTGATTTCCCGCTTTCGTGTGATGCTGGCAAATCTTTTGTAAGTGGGGAAGACGTATCTTCGTGGGGTGGAGCTCCGGGAGCACTGTTCGACACAAATGGCTCAGGGTTGACCGAACCTGGAGGATCATACGCTGTGCAAAATTAGTGAATCCATCTCTCAAAAGTGAGCCCAAGCGAACATACGTGACTCGGATTCCCTGGCCGATGTGTACGATCCAGTTGAGGATGCCTCGCCTTCTTCGAGGTCCAGTTTGGACGCGTTACGACTTTTCGCCGCAGAGCTCCTTCCAGATTCCTTGTTCCCAACCACTGTCGTAGCGTTGTAAGTGCCTGTCGCGTGCCCATTTTGCTGCGTCAGAGTTGACGGTCTTGCGTCTGCTCGCGTTTCGGACAAGCCTGCGTTCTTTGAACTCGTCGGCGTGGGCCCCTCCATATCGGTAAGTTCACCTTCTTCTCGATCAAGATCTTTTCGCGTACTCGGTGCTGTGGCGGCTCGAGAGCTAGCACTATTCATGGACATCGAATTGGCTTGCGAACGAAGATCACCCGATGAGGGGCGACTCGGCGCTTGAATGTTGGCTGCGGGCATCGGTAATGGCGGGTATCTCAACGGAGGCATCTGGATGGGTGGGAACGGAGGTGGGGGAAACTGTGACGGTGTGAATGGGCTCATGAAGGGGAAAGGCGGCGGTGGTAGAGGTAATCCCGCTACAGGACCTCCTAAACCAGGAAGATTCGAAGTCATATTAAGGTTGGTCAAGTCGTTATAGCTGAACGGTTGGTTGGCGTTGTCGTGCGGCTGCTGAGCCGACGAGATATCTTGACTGAAGGGTAGATGGGGTGGAAGGGAAGATGGCATGGAAGTTGACGGGAAAAGATGTGAGTGAGGCCATTGCTGGGTGTGAGGCGGATCGCCTATTGAGGGCGCCGGGGGATGCTGCGACATGCTTGGGGTAAAATATCAACTGAGGCTATTCAACACAAGGGTATCTTGATAAGATTGTACTGTGATGAGTAAGTAAGACGCGGGCCTGTGTTAGCTTCACGGATTCAGGCATCGCACATCATATAGTAGGCAGCTTCGCATCAGTGTCACCAGTCGTGGATGGGAGACGCCAAATCTAAGAGAAGAAGACAACTCAAGCTTTTCACATTTCAAGCCTGTAAATGACACATGAGAATATGGCTATCCGCATATGATCGTGGGCGCAAGAGATGTGGAGAAAAACACGGGTTGACAAGGACAGGAGAAGTGAAGCGCATCTGCGAGAATGCTATTATTTCGAAATGCAGGATCGAGTTTCGTGCCACGAAATCCACGTGACTAGTGCATGGACAGATCGGGACTAGCACCAGATCGGCGCTCCGCAGCCTAAGGAACCACAGGATGACGGATGTAAACAAACAGCCGGCCCCATCACAATGCAGGTGCGCAGGTACTTTGGGTTCAAGCTGTGTTCACCCATGCCTTACTGAGTCTTCATCTGTATCTTCTTTGTTCTCAGTGCACGCAGGATCTCTTTTACCTCATTTTTATATTATGTTTTGGCTTTTCCCTTCCATTGGAGATTAATGACCTTGTTAGCAACACTTCCTAATGCTCAGTGAGCTTTCATGACCTTGATTACATTGCCCTTTTCCCGCTCTATTTACGAATGATGCTCCTCTGAATCGACGACAAGATGCTTCCTTCTCAGTTGAATGGTTCACCGAAGCGTGCCAACCCTTTTGGGCGCTCAACTCCATCTCCATTGCCATCTGCTTCACAGACCAGAAGTCCGCGGCCAAAGTCGGCCATTGTAACGTCACCTTCGAAGTTCGAAGAGGCGAAGAGCCATTTCCGAAATTCGGCGTCTATTTCGCAATTATCACCGTCCCCTCTCATACGAACCGGGACCCGGCTGAGATCGAGTTCTCTAAGAAACGATGCGACATCGGGGACATTTGCGCCCGAGTTCATCAAGTCGGAAGAGCTACGACGAGGGGTGGACGAGATCCGGGGTCTGGAAGGAGACAATGACTTCTCAGGGAACAAATACGTCTGGTTACGTCATCCCGACAAAGCATTTGTTCGTGGCCTGGTATTAGAAGAAAGAGGAGATGGGAAATTGCTGGTCCAAAGTGATGATGGAGAGGTATGATAACTCGAAGTCCATCAAGTTCATCAAGATTTTGAAGCTCATCACCATGGCAGCAACGAGAGGTTGAAGCAGACCAAGTCGATAAGGTCAATCCGGCGAAGTTTGACAAGGCGGATGATATGGCAGAACTCACGCATTTAAATGAGGCTTCTGTGGTGCATAACCTGCACTCACGATATCAGGCGGATCTGATATATGTGAGTTCTCCTGGATGGTCCCTAAGAAACGTGGCTCTGTGATCTGATTCAGTTATCTGTAGACTTACTCAGGTTTGTTTTTGGTCACAATCAATCCGTACTGTCCATTGCCGATTTACACAAACGAGTACGTGAAAATGTACAAGGGCCGGAGCAGAGAAGAAACTCGACCTCACATTTTTGCTATGGCTGATGAAGCCTTTCGAAATCTGGTCGAAGAGGGCGAAAATCAAAGCATTCTAGTGACGTATGTTCCTCCTCGAAAAGCTCGTGAGGACTGCAATATCTAACTTTGGAGCGTAGCGGTGAATCCGGAGCTGGTAAAACAGAGAATACGAAGAAGGTCATTCAATACCTTGCAGCAGTGGCAACGACTGATACTCCCTTTGCTCGCTCAGGATCTAAGCAGCTTTCCACTCTCTCGCAGCAGATCTTGAGGGCAAACCCCATACTGGAAGCATTCGGTAATGCACAAACCGTCCGAAACAATAACTCATCTCGATTTGGAAAATTCATACGCATTGAATTCACCCGCTGTGGTCAAATTTCCGGTGCCTCGATTGACTGGTATCTCCTTGAGAAATCTCGAGTGGTCAAACCTAATAGTCATGAGAGAAATTATCACATATTTTACCAGCTGTTGCAAGGCGCCGACCCGAAGATGCGGGAAAGCTTGCTCTTAGCAGGTTTGCAGATCGAGGATTTTGCGTACACCAGAGACGGTAATGACAGCATCGTCGGTGTGTCTGACGTGGATGAATGGAATTCGCTGATCGAGGCATTCCACGTGATGAAGTTCTCCGAAGAGGATCAGATGTGTATTCTTCGGACGGTTGCAGCAGTACTTCATCTGGGGAACATCACTATCGTCAAAGAAAGCTTGCGCGCGGACCAAGCTGCCTTGGGCCCCGACTCATTGAATAGCGTCGAGAGGGCTTGCCGATTGCTAGGGATAGCGCCAGAGCCCTTTGTGAAAGGACTGCTTCATCCGAGGGTAAAGGCAGGCCGGGAATGGGTGGAAAAGGTCCAAACCCCAGAGCAGGTTCGACTGGCGCTGGACGCTCTCGCCAAAGGCATCTACGAGCGAGGCTTCGGGGATCTTGTCAACCGCATCAACAGTCGGTTAGATCGCAGTACCATGGCTGGCGACGATAGCTTCTTCATCGGCGTCCTGGACATTGCTGGTTTCGAAATTTTCGAGAACAACAGCTTCGAGCAGTTGTGCATCAACTACACCAATGAGAAGCTACAGCAGTTCTTCAACCATCACATGTTTGTCCTTGAGCAGGAAGAGTATGCACGGGAGCAGATCGAATGGCAATTCATCGACTTTGGCAAAGACTTGCAACCGACCATTGATCTGATCGAGCTGACAAACCCTATTGGTATCTTCTCGTGCTTGGACGAGGACAGCGTTATGCCAAAAGCCACAGATCGTTCATTCACAGACAAACTGCATTCACTGTGGGACCGAAAGTCCCCGAAATATCGCGCCTCCCGCTTGAGTCAAGGGTTTGTCCTGATACATTACGCTGCTGAGGTAGAATACGACACCGAGGGATGGCTTGAGAAAAATAAGGACCCTCTGAATGACAACGTGACACGCCTCCTTGCGCGATCGAGAGATAAACACGTTGCCAACATCTTTTCCGACTGCGGCGACCCGGATGAGGACATTGACCTCCCCAGAAGCAGAGTCAAGAAGGGCCTTTTCCGCACCGTTGCACAGCGACATAAAGAGCAGCTGTCAAGCCTCATGAACCAACTCCATCAGACCCATCCTCATTTTGTTCGTTGCATTATACCCAATCACAAGAAGCGTCCCAAGATGCTGAATGCCCCACTCGTGTTAGACCAGCTACGCTGCAATGGTGTCCTCGAGGGGATCAGAATTGCTCGTACAGGATTCCCCAACCGCCTCTCATTTATTGAATTCAGGCAGCGATATGAAGTTCTCTGTCCTAACATGCCCAAAGGGTATATGGATGGACAGAGTGTTGCCCACAATATGCTCCAAAGACTCGGTCTAGATCCGGCCTGGTACCGTGTAGGTCGGACGAAGGTCTTCTTTCGAGCAGGTGTCCTGGCTGAGCTCGAAGAACAACGCGATCAGCTCATTCGAACTATCATGACTCGATTCCAATCTGCAGCCAGGGGTTTCATCCAGCGGCGCATTTCAAACAAACGCCTATACCGGGCGGAGGCTACGAGAATCATCCAGCATAACTTCCAAGTCTATTTAGATATGAAGCGGAATCCCTGGTGGCGGCTATTCTCGAGGATGAAGCCTCTCTTGGGAGAGACACGCACTGCTAATGAAGTCAAGAAACGCGATGAAAAGATTAAAGAGCTGGAAGCCAAGATGAAGCAGGACATTGCTGAACGCCAAAAGCTTGATGAAGAGAGACGGCGCACGGAGATTGAGATTCAGAAGATTCAACACATACTTGAAAGCGAACGAGCCTTGGCTCTTGACAAGGAGGAGATCTTCAAAAGACTGCAGCTTCGTGAGGTCGAGTTAACCGAGAAGTTGGCTGGAGCCATTGCGGATCAAGAGAGTCTCGAGGACCAACTAGATACGCTAATAGCGGCAAAGAAAAAGGCTGATGAGCAGCTTAGCCATCGCATCACGCAGCTTGAACAGGCCGGCGAGATCATTCAACGGTTGGAAGCCGAGAAACGGGATCTACAGGCCCGCCTCGAGGTCCTTGACCGTCAATTGGAGGAAGCCCAGAGCTCTGTCGCCGAGCAGGAAGCCCGCGTTAAGGAGCTAGGCCAGGAAATAAAAATGCTTCAAAGCCACTTGAGTCTCAAAGACCGTAAACTTCAAGAACTGGAGGCGAAATTGCTCAAAACAGACCAGGATCTTGACATCAAACTAGCAAGAACATCGAAAGATTTGGAGCAGTCGAAAAAGCAGATCAAGGACCTGGTTGAGGAGAATCGTTCTATCCGACAGCAGATTTCTGATCTCTCCTCCACATCTACTGGCTATGAGGAAATGCTCAGGCGAAAAGAAAGTGAAATTGCCGTTTTGCGAAATGACATTAAGAAGCATCAAGAAGAGAAGGGACACTTAGACACGGAAAAAGCATCCATATCAACACGCCATGATAATATGCAGAAGCGACTTCGAGAGCTGCAGGCAGAGTCGGACGCAATGAAGTCTGAAAAATGTCAGCTTGAACGTGAGGTTGCCGACGTCAAGAAGCTTCTCGAGGAGAAAATTTCTGAGGATGCAGAGGCTGGCGAGAGTAGAAAACTGCTTGAGCAGCAGATTCACGACCTGAAGAATCAACTATTTCAGGCGCAAGCCGATCTCAGCCGTGAGCGACAGTCGAGAGACGACGTCCAAATGCTTGCTGAGCACAATCTCGCGGAGCTCAGAGACAAGTACGCCTCCTTGAATGAATCGAAGATCATCATAGAGAAGGAGATGTACATTCAGCAAGACACGCTTCGCCGTGCGACTGAAGCGCGAGTAGCTGCGGAGCAGTCTCGCAAGGAGCTCCAGACCGAGCTGATCAAACTTCGCGATAGGTTCACCAAGGTGGAGAGTGCCCGCTTGAACGCAGAGGCTGAGATCGAGCGAAATGTGAAGAAGCAGG